GGGACCTTGTGCTTGCGAGGCAGGCACCAGAACCACTGAGCTAAATGCCCGACCCTCACAAATAGTTTTAACACTGAAAGCTAACTAGAAATCTTACTCTGGGACAATTCACTCTCAAACAACTGTAATAAATTAGAGGAAACAGGGAGGTAAACTTTGTGGATATAGGGATGGGATGAGATGGACGGGCAGGAAAAGGGAAGTAAAAATGATTAAGATGCAATATGTATAGTTACAAATTCCCCAAAATGAATGTAATTATTATACATTGCAGATATATACTAATAAAAAAATCTATTAATGGGTACAAATTCACTGTCTATAGTTGCACTAATAAAATTAACTAAGCAACTTGGGAAATAAGCCATGAAATTAGGAGTGGCAAAAAATTATCAGGAAAAAGACACCAAAAATGAGATGAAAATTATGATCTTCAGAAAATAAAAACTATAAATTTTCAACAAGAAAAATATTACTGACTTTAATAAATTATTAGATATAATAGTGAAAAAACATGGCGATAGATGAGAAGACAGTGAGCAAGCAGCCTGTGCCCATAGGAAACCTCAGCTGCGGAGACAGCAGCTAAGACCCAAGATCCTGAAACCAGTCAGAGCAGCATTCACTGCTGGCCAACTCTAAGTGCACTCTACGTTTTGTTTCCTCTCCACATCAGGAAGCAAAGATGCCAACTGACCTAATAACTAAACTAGTCATCGACAAAGCCAAGGCCCAAGGAAAGTAGGTAAGCTCAGAGGGTCAGCAGCTCCAGGGAGAAACAATGGACCAGGCCTGCAGTGCTAACCCTAAGAGAAACCCACAACTATTGTAAATTGGAAAAACAGCATGGAATTTTACTCCCAAGGGACTCCTTCCACACAGCAGACTAGTGTTGGAGAAGAAACCCCACCGTATTTTAGAGTATTTAATCAGAACTTATTTTAGGAAGAGGTTAACTGTTTAAGACTGAGCCACAGAACAACTTCACTTCAGGATTTCCAGTGCTACCCTACCCACAGTGACTGACAGACAGCTGAAAGAGACAGTAGTATGTAAGGTGCAGACAGACATGGCCCCCCAATGTACTGCAAACATGTACTAATTTTTAAATTTTTAAAAAATAAATTAATTAAATATTTTAAAAGAAAATAGTCATTTTATAATTTTAATATAATGATCCAAGACTCTCTTTAAAGAAACAGGCTTCAGAGAAAAAAAATTATAAGAAATAAAATACATCATTCTTGTAATTTTTCCCAAGCAAATACTGGAGGAAAAAAATCATCAGATCAAGACAGGGTACTTTGAATACAACTTCAGCTACTTAAGGAAACTAAATACCCATTTCTAGCTGCCAAATGAAGGGGTGTACAGCCTGAAATATCTTGATAGTTAGGATTTGCTCCTTTCTTTAACAGCAGAACCAAGCATTCTACTGATCCACAACTAAAACAACATTAA